GGGGGGGGGGTTTGATTTAATAACTAAACTTATTAAAAATCCTAATAAACAAAGGAAATAAAAATAAAATAGAATAAATAAAGAGAAGTTCCTAGTTCACGGTTCCGTCTACACCCTCGACTGACTCGTCTAATCAATTTTAGTATCAAATCTCGCTATCTCATGAAATTACTAGCCCTAGGCAACGACACGGTCTGTTACCTGAATTTTTTCTTATTTTTAATTTAACCGCGAGACGCTCGACGATTAAACCTGACTTCTTGTACAGTCCAGAAAAACGTTTTCAAGATTTAATACAATTAGCCGCTTTACGAATTAGAAAAATAGGCTAGACTAAGTAGTGAACTCAACCGCGTTCGCTCACTTAAATAGGCCGTGTTATCCCTGGTAGTTACCATCTTCCGGTTACCTCTTATGAATTAAACACAACAACAATTACGGATTGCAGGCCTAATTCAGATGTAGATATGAAAAGTCTAATCTAGGTGATCAATCTAAACAAGACTAACACATCATGGTGAATTATTCAAAATAACACAAGCAATTCCAAAAAGACAACTCAATAATCAAGTATGAAAATTAATCAAACATCGTCAAGTCGTAAGGTTCAACATCACCGGAACTAGAAATAAACTAGCCTAACATAATAATAAAAATAAATCATAAAAGAGAAAAGATAATAAAAAAGAAAAAAAAAGAGAGAATAAAATTCTCCCTCGTGTGCGGGTGCGGCTTCCCTCCGCAATTCGTCGGGCTCCTCGTATCTGTCCGTGCGGCTCTCTACTGCGTGGTGGCTTTTTCTATTTTTTTTTCTCCCAGTTGCGTCAATGGAACATAAAATAACGTTCCCTCCCTTTTATTTTCCTTGCAAATAAATCCTTTTCAATCTCTCCCAAAAGAATCATACTCCCATTAGGACTTTAATCTCCTCAAATAGATATACTTTTTGCTGCGTTAGTATATTAATCCAAAAAACTCCTGCTACTACCTCTTTGTTTTTGCAAACAATTGGTGTGATGTATTGTCCATTTCCAAGCCTAAGAATTCGTCCCTAGCAAAGCTTCTCATATTGGGCTTTTAATTTCATTAATATTAAGCCCAAATTAACCACGTCCAAATTCTCGTTTGGTATCACGTCGCTCATAAAAATACTCAAATATCCTGAAAATAAACCATAAAAATATCAAAGCACCTCAATCCATCTAATAAATAAATAAGTCGAAAAATAATATAAGTGCGATAAAATTAAGCATATAAAAATATGCTAATAAATATATAAATATGCACTCTTTCCGACCAATCAATATATTATCTCACTAAAATATTATACTATTAAAATTTTAATTTTAGCATATAAATTTATCCCTTGATATAAGAGAAAGTAACAGTTTTACTTATTGTTGTTCACCATATAATATTTAATTATTATTTTATTATATAATAAAAAAAGAATACTGTTAAATAGTGTAGTAGAATTGTTATAAAATTATATGATTTTTTTTTTTACAATATGGATTTAATATTTTTTTATGATTTATAATATAAACAAATCTATACTTAACTTTGACAAATAAAACAAATAAATACTTTAGTAAGTATTTAATGTATATACTAAATAGGAATATATTTGGTATAATCAAATACCAAATATAATCAAATAAGTCAAAGCGTACATTTTTATTTGGTATTTGATTTTTTTATTATTAAAATCTTTTTATTATACTTACCTTTTTAAAATAAAATAAATAAATAAATTAATTAAATAAATAAAATATTATAATACCAAAATAGTAATGACATTTAATACAATTGACTTTTCTGGATAGTAAATGTAGTAAATAGAATATCGTTTTATATAGTATAATACGGAAATAGTAATGCAATAAATGCTGTTGGCTTTTCTGACTACTTAATTTGGTAAATAGTACCCCCTTTAATATAAGTATAGATGTGGTCAAATACTCTCATCATTAATTACTTTTCATTAATTACAATTTATTTATTTATTATTTTCTTAGCAAAAACGGACCAACATTAATTGATTTTCATAAAATGTGGTAGTTGTTGTTTTATTTTTGTACAGAAAATCAGGGGATTCATTATAGAAACTAGTACAGAGCCCGTGCGATGCACGGGATGCACAATTTTAAAGCTATTTAGCCAGGCTTATTATTATATACATGAATAAAGAAAAATGTACGAGATATATATAGTACGTGACCCGTGCAAAGCACAAGATATATTTATTTGGAGAATATTATATTATAAGATGCAATATTCAATAAAAATTTATAATACACAAGAAAATTGTACAATGTTCAAATACTCGTGCGAAGCACGAGATATATTTATTTATTTTATTATTTGATAATATAAACAAATCTATACTTAACTTTGAAAAATAAAACAAATAAATATTTTAGTAAGTATTTAATGTATATACTAAATAGGAATATATTTGGTATAATCAAATACCAAATATAATCAAATAAGTCAAAGTGTACATTTTATTTGGTATTTGACATTAAAATCTTTTTATTATTCTTACCTTTTTAAAATAAAATAAATAAATAAATTAATTAAATAAATAAAATATTAATACCAAAATAGTAATGACATTTAATGCAGTTGACTTTTCTAGATAGTAAATGTAGTAAATAGAATCTCCTTTTATATAAGTATAGATTGTATAATACGGAAATAGTAATGCAATAAATG